ATAACAGATTTCCTTGAGCAGATGTATCAGACAATGGGACTTTAGTAGTGGTAAAGAATTCAGGGAGCCTAGGGGAAACAGATCCAGATTTGTATACTGATTTTGCCACATATTACCTATGTGACTGTGCAATTTACCAACCAGTCTGGGCCACATTCCTTCGTCTGTGAAAAACAGGATAAAAGCACCCACATTCTAGGCTTGTTGAGAAGATTAAATGAGATGTCCGAAAAGCTTTACCACAGAGCCTGGCATATATATAAGTACTCATTAAAGAGAAATTGTGGAAGGCTGCTGTGGAGAATGAAAGGGACACTGTGTGCAGAAGAGCTTCGTGGAGACCAGTACCTGAAGGCCAAGCAGCAGCAAGGCCTGACTGAGCAGTCAGGTCTCCCCGCTCAGGATCAGTGCTCCGCGCACCACAATCCACCGCCTCTCATGAGGCCTTGAACTACCAACGACCAGGGCCGCCCAGAGTCCCGAATGAGGAAAGGTGGCCAGGAGCCACCCTGGCTTCTGGAAGGAAAGGGTCTCCAAGAAGGCCGGACGCATTCGGGCTCCCGGTGGGTCGTACCCGCGGGCCCCAGGCCCTCTTACTTACCCGGGAACGGTAATGGTCCTTAACGGAGACCAATAACGGCTCACTTGTGGCCCCGACACTAGCAAGGGCAGGCTGAGGTCAAACCTTGGATTTTGGAGCCCACGCCTGAAACCCTAAACCTGCATCGAACTACAATTCCCAGAATGCTATGCGGCCACCCGGGTCGCGGAGCGTCGCCTCTGCCAACCTTGGGGCCCTTCTTTCCTCAAAGCGCGGCCGAACGCTCAGGACTTCCGGGTAATGCTGGCCCTCCACCCAAGACAGCCTCCCCTCATGATTTCTGGGTATTGTAGTCTACCTCGTTCCGGTTTCCCTGGAAAGAGCGGCTCCTAGATACGGCTCCCCTCGCCACAAAAACTACAAAACCCAGAATATAGCGCAAGTTCCCTTCGTCCAATAGGAACCCCCCATGTAACGAGGCGCGGAGGCCGGCTCTCGCAACTCAAGATGGCGGACGAGAGTGAGACAGCAGTGAAGCCGCCGGCACCTCCGCTGCCGCAGATGATGGAAGGGAACGGAAACGGCCATGAGCACTGCAGCGATTGCGAGAACGAGGAGGACAACAGCTACAACCGGGGGTAACGAGATCCTCGGAGTCCAATTGCTGTCTAGTCACCCACAACCCTGGTCTCTGGGGTGCGGGGAAGTCACCGGGAGCTTAGTGTAACCCCACCCCCATATTTTTATTGGTTGAGACCTTGAGATCCTGCCTGGTGATTGGTTACTGTCTTTGTCCATTACCAGAGGTGGGTGCTCGGTATATTAAGGGCCGGAGACATTCAATACTTTTATTATATAAAAGTTCTTCTGTGTAATGTTCTACTTGTGTGATTCAGGCGCATCGGGGGAAAAGAGCATATTGGATGATGGTTTTCGGTGGCACAACACGGGTCAATCTAGCAGTACAGTTCAAAGGGAACGTTAAAGAGGTGTTGTTTCAGTGAACAACGTGATTAGCAATAAACGAGTAATAAAACATTTCGCTTCAGTTCACCTTCAATGAGGAAATTCATCAAGCTGTACAAACCATAATTATGTTGTAAAATATCACTACCAGAGAATCCCAAAATATAAACTCACCTTATAAACCCTACGTAGTTACTGTGATAATGTTTTGATGTATACGGTGTCCGTTGCTTCAAATAATCCATAAGATTCCTGAGCAATATGTAATTAGGTCTTCCAGCATCTTTGCTCTGTTAACTTTGCGAAGTAGCCTTAAGCTTCAAGAAATTGAGTGATAGTGCTTCTTAGACAGTGTTTAGAAGTGGGTTTAATACTGCGTCTTCTGTACTTTAGGGTCGTGCCTTCTAGTAACTATTCGTTCCTTGGGTGGAAGAAATGCATCAGACCTTTGAGTGTTGAGTTGGATTCCAAATCAGTTTTCACTCTTGTAAGCCACACCCTGTCATTCCTCTTTATATTGTTCAAGTGGCCGGTGCTGACACTCACTCTCTCTATCTGTCTGTATTTACACACTATATGTTTTTTAACGGAAAGTCCTGAGAGGCTGTTTTGTGTGTGTAACTTTGGCTGAGTCTGTGGTAGTCTGTTTTTCATAGCCATTGTTTCATTTGCAATATTGGTGGTAGTCCTGGAGGTAAAGGTAGAAGGTTGAGGTCTTTGGCTAAACTTTAAAAAAAATTCTGCTACCCTATAGAGATGGGAGAACAAAGGATTATTTAAGTGATTTATAATCTGCTTGTGATGAATCTTTAGGTTAAAAGATCTAGCTTTTATGTTCTTCAGCCAGCATTAAAAATCACAAGAAGGGGGCCGGCCACGTGGCCTAGTGGTTAAGTACGTCTCTCTCTGCTTTGGCAGCCCAGGTTTGGTTCCTGGGTGCAGACCTACACCACTTGTCCACGGCCATGCTGTGGCAGCGAGCCACATACAAAATAGGGGAGGATTGGCGCAGATGTTAGCTCGGGGTGAATCTTCCTCAAGCAAAAAGAGGGAGATTGGTGACAGATGTTAGCTCAGGGCAAATCTGCCTCAGGAAAAAAAAAAAAACCACACAAAAGAAGAACATAGAGGAAAAGGAATCTTGTCAGATTTGGTTTTATAAGACTAGGTTCTTGTGCACACAGATCTAATGTCATAAAAGCCTTGTTTTGAAGTTTGAGATTCCTAAGAATGGAAGAGCTGAGAAAGAGGAAATAGGAACAGAAGAAGGGAAAGTGTAGCCCTTCTGAGTGAAGATCCCAGTCATCAATGGGAGTTGTTGAGTTTAAAGTCATTTCAGGGGCCGGCCCGGTGGCACAGCAGTTAAGTGCTGGTGCTCCACTTCAGTGGCCTGGGGTTCGCAGGTTTGGATCCCAGGTTTGGACCGACGCACCGCTTGTCAAGCCATGCTGTGGCGGCGTCCCATATAAAGTAGAGGAAGATGGGCACAGATGTTAGCCCAAGGCCAGCCTTCCTCAGCAAAAAGAGGAGAATTGGCACTGGATGTTAGCTCAGGGCTAATCTTCCTCACACAAAAAAATAAATAAATAAAATCATTTCAGAAGTGAAAGTAGTGCGTCTTTGTGTGTGCTTGATTTTAATTTTCTCTGCTAAACTGTTGCTCTGACCAATGTCTATAGCTCTTTAATTGGTTTTGTTCCCTATAATCTAATAATCTATGAATCACTTTGCAAAACTGTTTGGCAGAAAGTTCTGTGTTTTATTTATATTTTTAAATTAATTTATGGTACCACAAAGTGGTAACCTGAAAAAAACTTTTGGAGGCGTTTTTTTGTTGTTGTTGTTTTTGTACGTGGTTATGGTCTAGGTGAGCTAATTAAGTTTATTAGCATCCCAAACTAGAGGTCTATGTAAATGAGTTTGGAGGTGGCAGGTGAGAAACAGAGGACCCAGCCTTGAGGACAGAGTCTGGTTCTGGCACTTAGAATCTGGGTAGTCAACGTTTTTCCGTTAACGTCAGAGGAACCGGTTTGGGGAAGAAGCATTGTGGCACGGTGGGAAAAGCATGGACTTTGAAGTCATTCAAACCTGAGTTCAAAGCCTGGTTCTGACACTTAACAGTCCTGTGACCTTGGGAAAGTTATTTAACCTCCAGTTGTAGGGATTAAATGAGATAACATCTGGAATGCAGCCTTCCTCCTCCCTCCTATTCTTTCTTCAAATCTTCCCTGTTCTCTTTCCCCCAGCTGGCCCCCGGCTGTTATCACATACTGTATTTTTTGTAGCTTTTATCATAACAATAGTTAAATAACGTACGTGTCCAGTCCCTGCCTCACCTGACTGTAAGGTGCCTCAGAACTGGGATCATGTCTTTGAGATGCCTGGCACTTAGTGGGTGTTAATGACTATTTGCTGGATGAATGAATAGCAAATGTTAAAGTTCGTAGCCCAGTGTTTAGTGAAGTTTTATTTCTCCTCACAAAGGGGGAGGATGTCAGATTTTTCTTACATACACACTTTCTTTCCCTAAATGAGTGTCATTGTAAGCCTCACTATAGTTTTTGTGAAATATCTGCAGAAATCAAGGATCCTCCAATTTGTGGTGGAGGTTTTCCATTGTCTCTTGGCTTGAAATTTTTCTTGTCTTTACGTAATATTATTTAAAATGTTTTCAAAAGTGATACAAGAATTGAAGGGGAACATCTCCTTTTGATGCTAAAATACGATACGCAATAAAGTCTTGTTTGCGTTGTCTGAAGTACAATACACAATAAAAGTTAATGATAGTTCTAACTAACCCTTGTTCTCTCAGGCCTTTCTTTCAGGATGGGCTCTCAGTGCTTTACACTAATGAAATGAGCTGCATTCGTGCACTGGCGTAATAGGCAATGCAGTTGTGCTAGTTTCTTATGTCCCTTTGTGTATAAGTTTAGTTCTTGACTTCTAGTCATGTGTTTCTTCCATAATTAAGTAAACATTTGGTGACTATAAATTTCATATATACATATAAACAGACATACATGCACATGCATATATGTACAGTATATGTATATATGTGGGTATATGTATGTCTATGTATTTATCTGTCTACAGTTTTTCTATCAGCTTTTTTAAAAAAATTCACTCAACAGAGGAAAGGAGGGCAGCATTTTCCCCCAGTTACTTGCCTGACATAAGTTACCCTGAGCAAATGAGAGTAGAGTGAGGCTGTGCTCATCCCCCTGCAGTTCATGATTCATCTGAGTGGTTTAATTTCCTTGCTTGTTTTTAGTGAAAGGCTTTCCAAAAAATATCACTAAAGAGTGAACCTTATCAGCTGGCAGTAGATTTTAATTTAGGGGTAACAAAGAAGTAAAGTTTATATAGGTGTTTTGGAACAGGAAAGAACTCTTAGACTATTTTGTTCCTAGGATTCTTTTGGAATTTATTTTGCAATGTCATCGATACCATTAAGATGCTGGTAACCCATGCGTCAGGAACCCTGTGTTAGGGGTTGTCTCTCCCGTCTTGTGCTCTTACTCCATGAGGACAAGTTAAAATGGATTCTTTTTTTTTTTTTTTTTTAAGATTTATTTATTTTTTTGTGAGGAAGATCAGCCCTGAGCTAACATCCATGCTAATCCTCCTCTTTTTGCTGAGGAAGACAGGCTCTGAGCTAACAGCTATTGCCAATCCTCCTCCTTTTTTTTTCCCCCAAAGCCCCAGTAGATAGTTGTATGTCATAGTTGCACATCCTTCTAGTTGCTGTATGTGGGACGCGGCCTCAGCATGGCCAGAGAAGCGGTGCGTCGGTGCGCGCCCGGGATCCGAACCCGGGCCGCCAGCAGCGGAGCGAACGCACTTAACCGCTAAGCCACGGGGTCGGCCCTAAAATGGATTCTTAAAAGTTCTCACTTCCTAACCATGAGATATGATCGCTTTATGAAGCAACCTAAGAGAAAAGGAAGGTCTTTTTGAAAGGAGTTCCATAAAGCTATCCTTATTTGCTTTCGTTTTATTCTTCAGGTTCTCCAGGAGTGGTTCTTCCCATACTTATTTGATGGCTTATAGCTGCATCTAGCTCTTGGAAAGAAGAAATCTTTTTAGTTCCTTTTTCTTAATTTCTCCCTTCAGCTTTTGGTTTTTCAAAACTAGATCAAAGCAGAAATGAAAAGAGAAACCTCATCACTGATATCAAATAAGTGTTCTAATTTTATTTCCCAATTAAGTGGCAATTAAAAAAGAAACTAATCAAGAGCTGCTTCAAAGAGAAGAGACTGGAAAGCAGAAGAAATGAAGAGTAAATGAGAGCCTATTTCAGGGAGACTGCTGCTCATGGCAACCCATTTTTGCTGATTTTTCACATTGTTTAACTAATGTGCTCACTCTAAAATTTCCCAGCTTTATGAAGTCTACAGTTAACCCTTTCCCTGTGGAGTCCATAGATTTAGTAACTTTAGGAGGATGTTTCTTTAGCTCTTCGTCTTTAACCTTTTGTCTGAAATCTCTGCCCGGGAAGCCTCTCTTCCAGTTCCTCAAGGAAGGTGCTCTTGTGCTTGCTGCATTTAAGGCACACAAGACATGGTGTTCTCTAATTAGAGTACCAAAATAAAAAACTAAAATTCTTCAACAGGGTCAGTACTCACTTCAGAAATTTTTCTAGGGGCCGGCCCAGTGGCGTAGTGGTTAAATTCGCATGCTCTGCTTTGGCGGCCCAGGGTTTGCAGGTTCGGATCCTGGGCACGGACCTATGCACTGCTTTATCAAGCCATGCTGTGGCAGGCATCCCACATGTAAAGTAGAGGAAGATGGGCACAGATGTTAGCCCAGGGCCAATCTTCCTCAGCAAAAAAAAAAAAAAAAAAGAGGAGGATTGGCAACATGTTAGCCCAGGGTTAATCTTCCTCACCAAAAAAAACACAAATTTTCTACTGCTGCTGACTTTGAGAGGCAGCTGGGAGGATTCACTATTGTTAGGTGTTCAGTAAATGTTATCTATTGCTGTTATTACTGTGTGCTGGGCCCTGTGCTAAGCCCTTTCCATGGATTATCTCGTACAAACTGCACTTAGAAAGACTGAGTGAGCTTTTGTATAAAGCTTGGGGTTTGCATCTCTACCTCTCCCTTTGTCACCCCTGAGGATCCGTTCTGAGTGTGCAGGATTTCTTCTCCCTCCTGCATTGGCTTCTGCATCCTGACTCTGCAGCAGTGAGTCTTCTCTTTGGATCCGTTCAGTAACCCATGGACTTTCCCAAACCAGGGAGCCATTTGGTGATGGAGGTGGCTGGCCCTTTTAAACTCTCTTTGATAGAGCAGTATCTGTTTCAGAGGTCATTCTAGTGTGTAAAATTGCTGCCAGCATTCAGTCATTGCTCAGAAAATTACTGAAAATGGTTTCTGAACAGCATTTGATTTGACCTTGGAGTTGCCGGGTTACAGTCTAGCTCTCCAAACCAACCCAGAGGATGTGGAATTTACATTTCTGTCTCATTCCCATTTTAAACTATTTAGTGTATCAGAGCTGTTGTGACCCCTAAAAAACTAGTTTTCCTCCATGACAAGAATTGGTTTGTTTGCCCTCAAAACTCGGGCTAACTATCCCAGGGAGGACAGAGGGTGGTGGTAGTAAAAGCAGTCTTGTAATCCCTTCCCACAACCTGCTCTTCTTTTCACAGACCTCTTAGGGTATCTTGATGGCAGTACTCAAGTGTTTTTATTTTTCCCATCATATAGGATTCACAAGCAGTTTTTTGTATAAATTACTGATTGTTGGGAATTTGCCGAGTGTGGGGTACTGCATTAAGTGATCCTACAGTCACAGCAGTACAGAGGATAGGCGCCGATACTGATTCATGCCATGTCTTCATTCACGTCTCTGGGCCTCCTGAGTACTAACAGAATTGCTAGTGAAGGTATCATGCCTTATGAGTATTGTGATTTGCAGAAGGATTTTCTGATGTCTAAAAGTGGAATCACAAGGATATTAGAGGCTAGGATTTATCTATTTAAGTTTCTCTGGAAATTTTAAATTTTAGCCCAAAGAATTAACTTCTAGTTTTTAGGGGTAGAAAACAAGTGACCAAAAGCTGTGAGTTTTATTTTCTGAGCTCTCTTTTCTTTTGATCTCATAATCAGAACTAAACCTGTGGTCTGTGTTTATGACTTTGGAACCATTTGAAGTAGCTACAGTGGAGCTTTTTTGTTTTAACTCTTAAGAGGACTAGCGCAGGTCCTAAGGAGGGAAAAGACAACGAATAAGAAAGTTGATAATTCAATAAGAAATATGATAATTTAAAATCTCAACCAGTGGTTCAAAAGAGCACCGCCTTTCTGCTGCTTTTATGGAATATTAACCCCAGCTATCCTGTGGAAACATTACTGAAGATGTTTTGCTGATCTGCTTTTGGGCTCCAGCTTTTCTGGGTTTTGTTTTAGTCCATTATGCCTGGAAAGCATCAGTCAAGCAAGTATTTATTGAATTCTTAACTGTGTGCACAGCACAACTCGAGGTGCTGTGGGAATCAGCTGTATAAAATGTGGTCTCTGTACTCAGGGCATTTTTAGTCTCATTGGGGAGCCAGGAAGCAACACATTATTATATATAAAGTGTTAAATTGTTTGGGTGATCCTCATCCTACAACAGGCATCAGCGAGAGCTAGAGTGGTCGGAGGCAGCGTCCTGGAGAAAACATGGCTCCCTCTCCTCATTGCTTTTAATATCTGCTCCTCTGATGCACAGAAATTTGTGTTAGGGCCCTGTGTGGTGAAACAATGTTTTTTTGGTTTTGGAAGACTCTCAGGTAAATTCTTACAGGGAATGTTTGGGGAGGAATGGGCCAAGTCTTTAGAGATTGGTGGCTTGTCCCTGGGTACTAGTTGGTCAGTTGAAGATCAGCTTGTGTCACGTCTCTGGGCCTTGGTTTCCTCCTCTATAAGTAACAGGTTAAGCCAGACAGCCCTAAGATTCCTTCTAGCTCTGGTGGTTTAGCTCCCACAAGAACAGCTCTTCAGTCCTCAGGCACACACCTTTGAGTGGATTTTGTCGCCCAGGAGGATTGAGAGGAGGCCTCCGTTATGGACCCTCACTGCTCATGTTATCTGGAAGTTCGCTGCTTATCTGTCAGCTTGCCCTTCCCTCCTGCCCACTCACACATCCTGGCACTGCATTCTGTTTCTGGAAATAAGTACTGAGGTTCATTTTCCATTTCCTCTCCAAGCCCTGACTTCATACCAGAGCATCTATAGGATTTCTTATATGTTTGAACTTAGAATATTTTGGCCTTCATTAAAATATGATATTTCTTGAGCCAGCCCTGATGACCTAGTGGTTAAAGTGCGGTGTGCTCCGCTTTGGCGGCGCAGGTTCAGTTCCCGGGTGTGGAACCACACCACTCCTCTGTCAGTAGCCATGCTTTGGTGGCGGCTCACATAGAAGAACTAGAAGGACCTACAACTAGAATATATAACTATGTACTGGGGCTTTGTGGGGCAGAGCGGGGGGGGGGGGGAAGATTGGCAACAGATGTTAGCTCAGGGTGAATCTTTCCCAGCAAAAAAAAAAAAGATATTTCTTGATTCCTTTTCTTGCCTGTTTCTGGTCTGTTGTTCTGCTTATTTGCTTGGTTGGTCATTAATGCCTTGGGTTGATCAACTTTACTGTACTTCAGAATGTAGATTTCAGAATTTTTATGTGAACTCCCATCTCCCTTTCCATTGCAAGCACAAACACACACACACCCCTGATGAAAGAAGGCAAATTTGACTAATTCTCTGCTCATTATTTTGGAACCAAATGAACCAAAGTTGAACTTTGATTTGCTGATTCCAGGGTTCTGGCCGATCTCTTTGGAGTATGTTAAGGTGACTGGCAGGCTTAGAGAGATCTTTGAGAGATTTCTGTTTCAATTTGCAGAATCTTAGCATGCCCTGGAATACCCACCCAGTGGGTATGGACTTTGCATCCCTTTAAAAACAATGCTGAATTCTTAGAGAAGGACTAGCCTGGCCCCTGTGGGGTCATCGTTTTGATTCTCTCCAAATCCAGATTGAGACCATTGTTTTGTGAAATGGTATTGGCTTCCTAGGATGCTTCTTGAAGACCTACTCTCAAGACCTCTGAGCTTGGTTTCTTATGAATAATTAAAATTGTTATAATCACCTTGAAAGCTAACCCTAGTGGGCTCCTTGAAAGTCTCTTCTCTGAGTCAGTTGTCTTCCGGTTTGGGTGTTGACTCTAAGACCATAGTGAGCTCATAATATGTTCTCAATGTGGCTCAATACCTGGTAGCTCAGTAAAAATGACCTTTTTATAGCTTGTCTTTCCTTTGTTCTTCAGCTGTCTCTGTATGCTTTACGTACAAGTTGAAACAGGATTGTTGCTCAGTAGCTGCATGTGCAAATTCAAGCCAATATAAGGAAAATGAAATTTGCTCTCTGGTTTTAGTTTGGGTCTTGGAGTTTGCCAGGCACTTGAATTAATAACACATAAAATAGAACAAGAGTTCACCCAGGATCCTTCCACAAAACT